CAAGGGTTCCTTCAGTTGGCAAAACCAGGAGTAGAACAGGAGAATCCCTAGAGAGTCTTACTGTCTTTTTTCAGTACTTATTTTATGGACAGAGAAATTCCTCTCTTAGGCAGGTCAAGTAGTCTTTAAAGGTGTCTGTGTTTTTGCCAGTTGGCTGCAAGACACAGGATCACACTATCATGGACAGTCACTTGCTATCCAAAAACAGAGCCAAGTGCAGTTTGATACCTCTTTTTATATACTCCCCCCCCACCCCCCTCACCATCATGACAAACACTGTGGAGCATCTGTTCTTTGCAAGTCTTCTCCCAGGCTGGGGTAAAACTTGAGCATAAGAATGTTTCTGGCAGAAATTGGGAGTTTGCCCTCTCTCAGCAAGAACACTTTTCAGAGAGACTTCTGGGGGCTAATAGCAAAGGAAATTATTTTGGTCCTACCCACAGCCCAAATTCAGGCCCCAGAGTGAGCATCACACAAGTCAGGCCTGGGGAGGCCTGTTTGATTGACCCAGTAATTTTTTGCTTAAAGTCCCCCCAGAAGGGATCTAATCTACAAGCCACAGGATTATGGAACCTTTGCGATTTGTGGGAACTGACTTTGTCACTTGAATGATTCTTCACTGCATTAGGGCTCTAGGCAACTGCACTTCTTTGTGGAACTACTCCATGGCCCCATCATTTCACTGCTCAACAGCTCTGTTTTTCACATGTTTGACAAGGCTTTTGACTTCATAGAATCAGTAGGAGAAGTATGGAGGAACAGAACTGTCACCAAAATGTCAAAAACAATGCCAGAGTTTGTTTATAATCCTTTTTCCTCCCCCATCTATCTTCTCCTCCTCCTTTTGTCCTTCTTGGACTTTCTTATGCCCTTGATCCTGTCACCTGAGCAAGTGGTCCGTCAAACTAGAGTTAAAATTTGTTATAGTTTTTCAGGGTTTGAGAGAGAACTTAGAAGTCTCTGGATTTTACTCCTTTACTTTATAATCAAGGAACCTGAGACCCAGGAAGGTGAAAAGATTTGCTCAAATGGTTTATAGACATGGAAGAAGTTAAATTTTCACTATAGTGCCTGCCCAACAACACCTTGCCTCCTTCTCCCGCTCTTGATTTCTCTCTACCTGGGTGGACTGTTAGGAAAATATGGATTATGATTTGAGTATGGATAAAATCTACCCCTTGAAATATTAAAGCCCCAACATGGGATGGGAGCAGGGGGTGGAAAGTTCTCAGGGTTAAGGGTTAACTGTTTCAGTTAGTCCTGAGACCCCCTGGGGCTTCAAGGAGGCTCTGGGAGCAGCAGCACTGTGTGTCTCCTGATGTGACAACAAACCACATGCCCTCTCATGGCTGCCTTCCATAGCAAGGCCACTGCCTCTGGGGTGGAACCCAGGCTCCATTACCATGCTGAGTCTCTACCTCCCTTGAGGACCATTTGGAATGGGCACTGAGAAGTTAAGGAAGCCTGCAGTTGCCTCATTTCCCGGCCCCCAAGTGAACTGAGTCAGTTTCCCAGCATGGAGGTTGGAAGCTGCCTGGGGGCTGGGACAGGCAGGCTGGCAGACCCTCCAGATATGCTAGGAAGGCACGACCGCTTCACAGTCTATGCATCTGACTCCATATCCCACTGCAAAGGGCACATTTAAAAAAACTGTATGAAGGCACCAAGCTGGAGAGGATGTTACTGTGGCCTCTTCGGTCCTGCACAGCTCTGTGTCACCTTAGCAAGTCCCAGTAACTTCTCTGAGCCTCAGTTTCCCTTTCGTTTGTAAATCAAGGGGCGTGGACTAAGTACGTCCCTTACGGTTTTAAATGTCTACGGTCCAAAGCCTGCTTCCCACGGAGGAGGATGGAAGCCCAGATCGCGTTGTCCTTTCGTTCGGCCTTTTGGACACTCAGAGCAGCGAAAGGGAGAATTGTAACAGCCTGGTGGAGAGCAGTAATCTCCTGCAAGCTCCCCTCTCCCATCCCCACCGATGATGACAGGTCGTATATTTGGTTACGCAAAGTAAATTGGGAAATCATATTTCCGCAGTCCCATCTGGGATTATTTATTTCGCCGTGTCTACAGCCGGTCGAAACCGTGAGACCGTACAATGGTGAGAGCCGCTTTCCACGAGAGGAGGTGGATGCGAGGTCAGCTCTGGAGGAACCGCAGCCGGAACCGGCTACAGCAGAGCACTTCTACCGAGATGCCCAGGAGTTCCCACACATCAGTCGCCACCCGGGCGCCCGCAGCAGGTTGATTCAGCAATTTAGGCTGGTTCCCGCGGGGAAGGGTTCCTCGGAGGCTGCAAAGGCGGGCGGGGGCGGGAGGGAATCGGGCTTCGGATTTCTCCCAGCCTGGAGCTCTCTGCAGGACAGTTCGTTGAGCTAAAATGACAGCCAAAAAAAACAAACAAACAAACAAAAAAAACCAAAAAACAAAAACAAAAAAAACCCCAATACAAACAACGATTCTCAAGTACTGAGTGCTCAGTCTGGGCGGGTCACCAGTGCCAGGGGGTCATCTCTTTCAGGTTAACTCTATTTTGCAGTTGAGGAAAGCGAGGCACAGAGGAATGTTCAGGATCCTGCCCCCTGCGTCCCAGCCCCAGAGTGGCAGACCTGGCATTCTAACCCGCCTTCGGGCGCTCGGCCTTAAAGCTGGAAAACGGCCTAGGGCAGGCTCGACTCCAGGCGACCGGGGGCTCAATGAGAGGTGAGAGAGGTGGCAGGGCCAGGCTGGAGAAACCAAGGGCCCACGAGCGGGATCGGCCTCGGGGGCCACACGGGAGGGAGGCAGCTCGAGCCCCGACGCTCCGGGGCGAACCAGGGGGACTCGCGCAAGGAACTGGATGGATGAGCGGGAGCCGATTTGAAACACCCTTCCCTCCTGTATTTATTTGTTTTTATTAATATTTAAAAAAATGTTGGAGGTGTGTCTGTAGAAGAAAAGAAAGCCACCCTGATCAAGAGGAAAAGAACCCCACACCTTCCTGCTTTTTTTTGTTCAGGTTTTCTTGCTCGATTTGGTAAAAGGGGGGCTCGCACCGGGTGGTTCCCAGCAGGGTGGAAACGGGAAGGGGTGAAGGGTGAGAGAGATGTTGGAGAAAGGGAGAGGGAAGAGAGGGGAAAGCCACCCCCCCCCCCCCCCCCAAATTAAACGCAATAGCAATTGACATAGCAGAAAAACGAAAGTGACGTAGTGGATTTGGCCACCTGCCTCCCGGGCTCCGCGTCAGCGAGGAACTGCTTTGCACTTGGAGACTGAGTGGCGCTAGCCACAAAAATGTCTACGGGTCATTTGTGAGCTAACCGGGCGCTGTGGTACAAGGTGATCACTGATTTACTCATGCAGAAGGTAGAAGGGTGCCTATGTGAGCTCCATCATTTCCGCGCCCAACTTTGGGTTAATGGATTGAGTCGCAGAAATAGTGGTGATGCTGGTAACGTGGAGACCAAGGCTGGCCTTTCTGATCTCTGCCTCGTTATCATCTTCTTTTATGGACAACGCGGTTCCTAAGAGTGTGTGTCTGCTTGTTTCCTAGTCCGCGAGGTAAACGGCGACTTCTCCCTCGCAGGCGTCGTCCCACTTGGGATTCAGCTTCTGGACTGGCGACCTCGCTGCAGCGAAGGTCCCGCGGGCGGACTCTGGCGGCGCGCGGCGGGGAGGAGCGCTTTGGCCGCGGGGAGGCGGAGGGTGCCCGGTCAGCGTGCCTCGGCCAATCAGCGTGCACACCGCCTGACAACCGACCAATCAGAGGACGCGGAGCTCGGGAGCCAGAGCGGATAATACTAGGAAGGGGAGCGGCGGCAGGAGACGGCCGCGAGCGGCGCTGTGCAGAACGCGGCTGCGTGCGCCCGCCCGGGTGGCCGGACCTTTCCGGCCCAGCTTGGGTCAAAGGAAGCCAAAAGCGGCTTCAGGGAGGAGAAGCGCCTGGGGCTGCAGAGGACCGATCAGAACGTTGCAGAGTCCGGGATGTGCGGGGCCAGGTCGCTGAGGACTTGAGTCACCTTCTACCCCGGTTCCCTTCCACCCCCTTTTGCCCCCTCCTTCCCCGTCTCGGGAGATCCGGGCCTCCAGCTGTCACCCCCGATTTCGTGGCCGAGCGCAGCGACCCCGATTTCTGTTTGCATGCACAGCGGCCGCCCGAGAGCCAGACCCCAAAGCGGGATATCTTTCGACTCGGCCGCTAGCCCGGGCCTCAAAGTCTTGGTGAGTGCTGTGACGCTGCTCTGGGGGTCGGGGACGGCGAGGGCGTGAACCTTGCTGTTCTACTTGAATGCCTTGCCTTAAAGATGTCAACCAAGCGCTGCACACAGCGTCCGCGCGGCCCAGCCTCATGCAGCCCAAGCACTGTTAACGTGGGCGGGCATCTGCGGCTGGTGTCCAGTGTCCCCATAGGGCTATAGTGACAGCAGAGCTTTGGCTTTCAGCTGGTTACTTTGAGGGGGAGGAGGACGGGATGACCTGTTCCAACCCAACGAGGGTCCTTTTGGTGGTGCAGGCGGATGAGAGGCATTTGGGAAGCCTGGTGTGGTATTTTGCTGGGCCTGAAAGGCCCCTCGTAATCAAAAGGAAACCAGTTCTTCCATCGACATTTTTATATTCATCCCGGCCGTGCTAGTTGGGTGTGGGGAAGACAGACAAGCGGCCTAGGCCGGCCTCGTTGGACACACCGCTGTGCGCGTGTGATCAGTGAGTTACCCGGGCACTTGTCTGGAAAGCCTGCGACGGCCAGAGAGGGCTGCGGTTAAAGGTCAGGTGCCCACGGAGCGGTCAGAAATAATCACATGAAACCCTTGTTGGGTTGTGGATCCCCGGGGACCCTAGAGATACAAGAAAGGCACGTGCCGCCTGGACGTGAGGGACGTGTAGGAGCTGGAGGCGGGCACACCAGGCGCTCTGGGCCTGAGGCTCAGGGACGGTTCCTGACGGCGGCCGGGGGGTCTTCGGGTCTTTGTGTCTCCGCAGAGTGCGGGCCGCTGAGCTCAGGCCCGAGTCAGGCAGCGCGCGCCATGGCCGACCGGCAGGCGGGCGCGGCGGCCGGAGACTGGGAGATCGACGTGGAGAGCCTGGAGCTGGAGGGGGACGTCTGCGGGGCGCCGCCGCCCACGCCGCCCGGGCCCAGCCCGCCGCAGGCCGACGGGGACGACGAGGACGACGACGAGGAGGACGAGGACGCGGAGGAAGAGGGCGACGGCGAGGAGGC